GAGTATATTTGAATATCTGTTAGTATATTAGAATATTTGTGAGTATATTTGAATATCTGTTAGTATATTAGAATATTTGTGAGTATATTTGAATATCTGTCAGTATATTTGAATATTTGTTAGTATATTTGAACATTTGTTAGTATATTTGAATATTTGTCAGTATAAATGATCCAGTCTTTCCTGTAGGAATGTTTTTATTGTTACAGAAACATCTTCTCGTCCTCTCGTGGTTTTTCTTCGGCCTTTTGTTCCACCTGTGGTCTCATTTGAATAAATTAGCAGCTAAAGTCTCGGCGTGGTAGCGCAGCCTAAATGTTCCTGCTCACATCTGAGCTGCTGAGGATAAAATCATCCAGATGAGAAAATGGAAACGGTCGTATTAACGATGGTTTCAGGCRGTGATGAGATCAGCTGATCAGACTTTTTTCTCTTCTGATGCTTTTTGTAATTTTCCTCTGAAAATAATCGTCCGTTCTGCTGGAAAATGATGTTTTAACAAAAACGTAGACTCATTAGCACATAGAGCAGTTTTCCCTCCATGCCAGAGGTGCCTCCGCACTGAAACCAACACCAGAAGATAATTTTATGAGATTTGTTCTGTATCAGCCGGTGATATGAATGAATGAATGAATGAATGAATGAATGAATGAATGAATGAATGAATGAATGAGTAAATGAATGAATGAAACTTTTATGCATTCCTTCTGCCGTCTATTAATAGCGTTTATGTAAAAAAGGAGCATTAATTAGGACTCTTCCTGCAGAGCTCAGCATCCAAAACCTCTAATTATTCCTGGACTCACTTTAGAATCTCTGGAGTTTGTGAAATCAACCGACAGCAGCGTTTTGGCCTCAACATAAAGCTTTATTTAATTTCTTATGAGCTTTAATATTGGATCAAACTGGAACTCTCTGATGAGATAATGGGAGGAAGAGGAGCGAGCGAAGGATGAAGGTCAGCCTGTCGAGACCTGACGAGTAAAGAGAAACCGTAATGATGGACGGACGGATGAAAGGATGAGTGAGGGACCCGGCGGAGAAATGGCTGGACCAAGTTCAGACGAATCAGAAGCGAGTGCAGCTGGAGACCCTTAAATGAATAAAACTCAGCTAAAAGTCAGCCGAACGTTTAGAGCCGCTCCAGGAAACACGGCGAGGTCTGGAAACGATGGAGTGAGGCGCTGCGGCTGAACTATAACGAATCTGTGAGGAGAAAAACAAACAGATATTATCATTTTATTTCATGAACACAGCAACAATAGTATAGCAGCAGCAGTGATAGCTGTAGCACTAGCAACATTAGCTGTAACTGTAGCAGCAGTAGCATCATAAGGATCAATAGCAGCATCAGTAGCATCTGTATCATCATTAGCAGTAGAAGTATCATTAGCAGCAGTAGCAGCATTAGCAACTGTAGCATTGGCAGTGGTAGCAGCATTAGCAGCAGTAACATCAGTAGAATCATAAGTAGAAGTGTAGCAGTAGCAACATTASCTGTAGCTGTAACAGTAGCAGCAGTAGCTTTATTAGCTTTATAAGCAGCAGGAGCAGCATTACCATCAGTAGCAACATCAGTGGAAGGAGTATTAGCATTAGCAGTAGCAGCTAAAGCATCATTAGCATCATTAGTAGCTGTAGCATTAGCAGCAGTACCAGCATCTGTAGCAGCATTAGCAGTAGCGTTAATGAGGCTTTCATCATTCACACCATTAGCAGCAGTACCATTACCAGCAGTAGCAGTATTAGCAGTAGCAGCTACATAATAATTAGTAGCATTAGTATCTATAGCATCAGCAGCAGTAGCAGCATTAGCAGCAGTGCTAATGATGCTATCATTATTCACAACATTACCAGCAGTAGCAGCAGTAGCATTAGTAGCATCATAAGTTGAAGTATAGCAGTAGCAACATTAGCTGTAGCTGCAACAGTAGCTTTATTAGCTTTATAAGCAGAAGCAGTAGTCATTAGCAGCAGTAGCAGCATTAGCAGCAGTAGTATTAGCAGCTGTAGGAGCATCAGTAGCAGTCACATCATTACCATCAGTAGCAGCATCAGCGGCAGGAGTAGTAGCATTAGCAGTAACAGCTATAGCATCTTTAGCGTCATTAGTAGCTGTAGCATTAGCAGCAGTACCAGCATCTGTAGCAGCATTAGCAGTAGCGCTAATGATGCTATCATCATTCTCA